CAATTTTGGTGAGTGGAGAATATTAGATAAATATTTGAATGGGAGCTAGGAGGTCACTTGTTAGTGTCTTAGTTTCTAACTGTTAAGATTAACTTTTTGGCCTGGTGCAGTGGCTCACGCCTGAATCTCAATTCTTTGGGAGGCTGAGGCAGGTGGATAGCTTGAGCTTAGGAATTTGAGACCAGCCTGTATAAGAGTGAGACCCTTGTTTCTACTAAAAATAGAAAAACTTGCCAGGTTTTGTGGCAGGTACCTGTAGTCCCAGCTGAGGCAAGAGGATGGTTTGAGCACAAGAGTTTGAGGTTGCTGTGACCTATGATGCCACAGCACTCTACCCAAGGTGATAAAGTAAGATTCTGTCTCAAAACAAACAAACAAACAAACTTAATTGGGCGGGGCCTGTGGCTCAGTGGGTAGGGTCCTGGCCCTATTTACCGAGGGTGGAGGGTTCGAATCTGCTCCAGCCAAACTGCAACAAAAAATAGCCGGGCATTGTGGCAGATGCCTGTAGTCCCAGCTGCTCAGAAGGCTGAGGCAGGAGAATCCCCTAAGCCCAGGAGTCAGAGGTTTCTGTGAGCTGTGATTTCACAGTACTCTACTTAGGGCGATAAAGTGAGACTCTGTCTTTAAAAATAAACGAACTTAATTTTAAATATTTTCAGTTAAAAGTTTTGCCTAAAAAATAGTACCTATAATTTAGAGAGTTTTGAATCTGGAAGTCTTACCTTCCCTGTCCTTGGATCCTGCTGTCTTCAGTGTTATGCTGGATAAAGAACAGTCATTTTCCAGGTCAATGATTCTGATCCTCTGGTTTTCACAAAGTAAACCATTAGCCTCTGGTGTATTGGTCAGCACCTGTCCATTTGATAATTACTTCAGAGCATTAACTGGTTGCTGGCCAGGGTGGCACTCATCTGATCAGCTCCAGGGTGTTTGTGAGTGCTGGTGGGGTCTATCTGAGATCAATCCAAGCCACCGTTTTGTCCCCTGTGATGCTTTCTTCCACCCAAACCCAACCCATGCAGATACAGCTGGGCTGTGAGGACTCCCAAGTTCCAGTTCAAAATGGCCACTGATATATTCTGCTGCTTTGAAAGCTCCTCCCATTGCCTCAGTTTCCCTCCCCATAATACTCTGATCATGACAGATCTCTTACCAACTATGCAGGCTTCTATTTGGTACAATAGGATAATAGAAACAAAACACTTTTAAAATTTATCTTCTCAGTGGAAGAGGAAATGGATGCTTTAAGAGTTAGGGGGTAGCAACTAAAAACCTAAAAAACACCCGAGTTTAGATAAGAGGAGGGGAGTGCTGTATATATTTTATTTCACAAATTTTTTTTGGCTGCAAAGTTTAAAATGTTGAAACAATTTGAGGCCAGATGGAGGTGGCTCGTGTCTGTAATCCTAGCACTCTGGAAGGCTGAAGGGGTGGATTGCCTGAGCTCACAAGTTCAAGACCAACCTAAACAAGAGCGAGACCCCTTCTCTAAAAATAGCCGGGCACTGTGGTGGGTGCCTGTAGTCCCAGCTACTCGGGAGGCTGAGGCTGAGTTTGAGCCCAAGCATTTGTGGTTGCTATGAGCTATGATGCCATGGCATTCTACTAGGGGCGACAAAGTGAGACGCTGTCTCAAACGTTGAAACAGTTTGAACTCTATGAAAAGCCAAGTGTCCAATAATCTGAAGGAACACTACATTCAACCAGTATGTTGGACATCAAGGGGCTTTAAATATCTATTTTCCAGAGAAGAGGAGGAGAGAGAGAGACCAACCTGTGGTCTTTTGGAAGACTGTCAGCTCCATAGCTCCACCTGAGTTAATTAACCTCTTTAATTTTTGTTTCCTCATAAAAATCAGTTGAATATAACCGATCTTTTAAGACTTCAGTGAGAACTAAATGGAAAGAAAAGATAGATGTAGAATTTACATTCCTTTCTCTTCTCAACTATTCTACTGGGGGGGAAAAGAGCCACAGTCATTAATGTTAAAATGAGTTGCTAGCATTTCTATATATTGAGGTAAAGACTAGTTAAAAATGAACTTACTGTCTCACAATACTGCCAAAGGCAAGAAACAATATTGTAATATGTCTTCTAGCCATAATCTTTTCATGAACTGCTGATTATATGGATCATAAAATCTTTTGTTAAAATATTTTAAAATCTGGCCTGGCACAGGAGCTCACTCCTGTAATCCTAGCACTCTGGGAGGCTGAGGTGGGTGAATTGCTTGAGTTCAGTTCAAGGCCAGAGTGAGCAAGGAGACCCCATCTCTACAAAAAATAGAAAGATTAGCCCTGCGTTGCGGTAGGTGCCTGTAGTCCCAGCTACTGGGGAGACTGAGGCAGGAGGATTGCTTGAACTTAGGAGTTTGAGGTTGCTGTGAGGTAGGCTGATGCTATAGCACTTTAGCCCGGGCAACAGAGTGAGACTCTATACCACTACCCCATCAGAAAAAAAAACAAAACCCAAACCCTTAAATTTTGTGTAGCAGATGATAGTATTTATTGCCTTTCTTGATGTTTTCAGTTTGGTCAGGGATAAGTTGCTTGACCCACATGCTCCTCTGCTTCATGAGGGCCTCATGTTAAGGGGGCTGTTCCTAGACCCATGGTTTGGATTGGGGTGTCTTCTTGAGGGTAGTACTGTGAGAAATG